GCCTGCTTTTGAGGTTCTGACCAAATGCAAGTGGAGGTGCTTGCTCCTTTCCTACAGCAAGCTCAGAATAAATAGCCTTTGCTTTTCTCATTTGGTTGGTCTCCATTTGTTTGCACAGCATGGTCATGTAAATAGGCTTTGTGCTAATTGGCTTCCAAATCATCCCAACTGCTATTCATTCATTTATTTATTCGAATGAATAAATGAATGAATAGCAGTTGGGATGATTTAACATATTCCTTGTTTTTTGCCCTGGGGCAAAAAACAAAGAGTAAAATACAGTCTCTCCCCTAGAGGACAGTAGCTTAACAACTAAGGAGACAGAATGAATGACTGAGCAGTCTAATCAACAGGAAGTTGAAGTTGAATGGACATTTTTACTTTCATAGTAAGGAACTTGAATGTGGACTAGAGAAATAAGCATTTTAAGTCCACCAAACCCATGATATGACAATATTACTTTAGGATGAATGTGTATTGGTTGAGACCAAATCAGGACGGGGGAAAAAAAATCCCAAACACTGTAGGGAAAGAAAGATCCCCTAATTCTTGTAGTTCTTGTGTAGGGTTCCATGGCTGGAATTTATTGCAAAGGCTGATTAACAAGAGTGTAAGAGTTTTCATTTTGCATGAATGTCAGATCTTCACAAGAAAATGAAATCTGAAGGAATGGCCAGATCATGATGCATACATGCTTTTTTAGGCAAAGAACAATCAATGTGTGCAGGAATGAAGGGCTGTAAAGATCTGGACTAGGATCGTAAGTGCCAGGATCCTAAGTGCCAGGCATGGCACTAGGAGACATGCGGGGAATGTAGAAGCCAGTGGAAGGTAAGCGCTCCTCCAGGGTTTGACAGTTCATGTTCATAGCAGCCCGAATTACCACTCCCTGGTGGTCAAGGCTATTATCCAGCCTTGACATGAAAAGGACATAGCTCCCAAAATAATCTTTATGGCTTGCCGTATTTTGCCTTAACTCCTTCAACACCCTTTTAAAAAAATAGTTGGTGCATAAGAATTATGCAGAACAGTGGGTTTCACCATGGCATATTTGTACATGCACATAATTTGATCAACTTTATATCCTCCTCTTCCCTCCCCTCCTCCCTTCCCCCAATCCTCTTCCTTTACCCTACTGGTATCCCTTCTATTTTCATGAGATCTCCCTTCGCCCCCCCCCCTTATGTTAGCCTTACTTTAGTTTCCACATATGACCCTTGACTTTCTAAGTCTGGCTTAATTTGTTTAACAAAATACTCCCCAGTTCCATCCATTTCCCTGCAAATGACATAATTTTGTTCTTCATAACTGAATAAAACTCCCTTGTGCATACATACTACATTTTCTTCATCCATTCCTCTGCTGATGGACACCTGGCTGGCTCCAGAATTTGGTTGGACAAGCTAGGCCAAGTGTGCAAAGCTATATTATACTGACTTTGATTCTTTTGGATACATGTTGAGGAACACTGTTCTTATTTTAACAGAGGAAATCAATACAAAGAATGGATAATGAGGCACAAAGGTGTCCTGCAGGAAGCTGCCACCTGAAGGGAGAGGTGGAATTGTTGAGTGTAGAAGTTGGAGGGGGCCTGAGAGCTGCCATTCAGATGTCTGATGAGCTGCTGCTCATCAGTGCCTTGCTCATCAGTACCAGTGCCTTGGAGTTGAGCTGGAGCCTATGGCCCAGCAATGACAGATGTGTGAGGAGGGAACACTGGGGGTTGGTTGGTGCCAGTGCTGGTCCTGGATGGAGCTATGGGCTGCTCCAGCAAGCGCCGGGAACACGGATGCTCCTGGTGACAGAGACTTGGTAACACTGTAAACTGGTGTTAATTACTGTCACCAGCACACAGSCCTCTGCAGGGTGAAGGAGTTTTGAGCATGGTGAAGGAGGAGGAAGGAAAAAGGAAGCAGACAGGATGGACCAAGTCCTCCCTCTTCTTCTAGCTTTACCACCTCCTTCTGGGCTTCCACTGGAAGATCCCAGGTGCTGAGTACAGTCTGCTTTTATTTGTGGGTTCTGCATCTGTGAATTCAAACAACTGTGGATCAAACATATTCAGGAAAAATATTTGCTACTGTACTGAACATGTGGACAACACATAGAAATGATACAGTGTAACAATTAGTCACTTAACATTTAATTGTATTTGGTATTGTAAGTAACCTAAGGATGACTTAAAGCACATGAGAGGATGTGCAAGTCCTATGCAAATACTATACCATTTTATGCCAAGGACTCAAGTATCCTTGGATTCTGGAACCCACCAGAAGCCCTGGAACCAGTAACCCACAGATAGCTGACAGCATTGAGGGTGAGTTGGAACCTGAGAAGCAATCATTTACAATCTGCTAGAGCCCATGGTGGGCCATTCAGCCTCTGCACACAAAATGCTTAACATAATTAATCTTCCTGCAGCAAGAGAAGCATCTCTTTATTTCTATTTAATAAATCGCAAACATCCTTTTATAAAAGAGATCTTCACCTTTCTCCCAAATGAGATAAGAATGTCCAGATCTTTGATCAGTTTCTGGGAGTCACACTCATCTCCTCAGTTACAGTTAAAGCATAGTCACAGACTAAACAGCAAATTGAATCCAAGCTAATATAAAATAAAGGGGAAGAGAGGAAATCAGCACACACAGTGTGCAACTGAGGCAGTAACTTGTTTCTGTAACTGTTGGTCACAGGCAGCAGTCAGTAAACTTATTCACACCCACATATTGTTTCACCTCCCTCATCTTTTCAGGGTTCCTATGTGGTGGGAGTCCTAAAATGTAATGGTCTAAAGGTCACACTCTTCTATGAGGTTATTGTTATTTCCATTAAAATTCTGTTACTGGACATTGAAGTGCTAAACACACCCTAGTGTGACCCTTGGGCATAAGCCTATGTAAGTGGTCCCCAATTCAAAGCATAAATTCCATTTTGTCAGATGGGGTGCTATACCCTAGCCAGTGCTACCAATGTTTTCAGCACCGTTCCACCATCCCTGTGTACCCACTACTCCTGGTGACAGAGGACTTGGTAAACCAGGCATCACCTGTTGCCATGCATGGGCTCATCATTAGAAGTGACGCTGTGAAGGTGGAGAGTGTGCCCAAGACATTCAGTAGACCGTGGTGCGGGCAGGGCATGGGGAGGAACTTCCAACCACTTCTCTAGGATGGAGCGCACTGGCAGCATACTGTTCCCACCTTTACACACACACACAAAGCATGATTCTTCAAATTCACTTGTCATAATTCACCAGAGAACTGAGATCACAGAACCACCAAAATCTATGGGAGATTTAGAGAGAGAGATCTGTATCTTGCTTATTTGTTGAGAAAAAACATTAAATGATATCAGTAATTTAAAAAAACTCTCAGTACCTAACTCCAGACAGATCCACTTAATTCCATATGCTTCCACACCTGGTACTTAAAATAGGTTCAGGCTGAGATGGTCTGGTGGTGGGTGAGTGGAAAGTTCTATAGGCCTACACTATAAGAGACTAGAATACTGTTTTTGACCCATATAAGGCAACTTCTTATGGTTCAATTGAATACATCAATATATTCTAAATTAATGGCTGATATTAAAAATTACTATTTGGATAAGTTACATTATCTAGACTAAAATTATTTGGAAGTCCAAGAAAACAGAAAAAGCATGTRGAAACAGATATTTATTACAGAATATTTTTAAAAAATTAAATGCCTTAAACAAAAAACAATACCATAAAGTGATA